ATATATATATATATATATGTTGATATGTATAAAAAAAAAAGAAAAGAAAAGGAATAAAGAGAAACGTAGCAGAAAGAAGAAAGTCTTATCGAAAATAGCATCGGCCAGCCTCGCAAGCAGCAACCGCGCGTTAAATATATTAATATTGCTTAAAGATCATGCAAAAATGTCATACATAGTAAAATATATGTATGTATATATATTATATGTATGGAGGGATTACATGTTATAGGGCGAGAGACTTGCAAACATGTCCGTTTGCTCGTAAAAATTTTTCCCACTTCGGTCGATAAACGAGCGTGATCGGAAGCGATTTCGACGCGATTCTCGTTTCTCGGAAAATACATATATGGTGTGCATGTACCTGTGTGTGTGTGTGTGTGTGTGTATTTTCATACGTATATCTCGTCGTCGAGCCGCCAATTCGATGTTTGAATCGCGTTTGTGCACACATTGATCCAAGAAATTGAACACGGGCACACGGATTCAAAGAATGGGCCGTCGTATACGCGTCTTATCTTAATCTATAAAATAGTTTTGAGCGCTAAAATCGGACATCTTAAGTTTCTAAACGACAGTTTACAGCTCTTCGGCCGATGTTACATAATTTGTAAAAAAAAAAAAAAAAAAAACAAGAATCTTTCGGCCGTATGTGGACGAAATCTTTGCAAAAGAAAAAAAGAAAGAACATGCTCGGTTTGCATAATTCTAATTCGCTTGCGTAAAAACACGTTTGCCCGAATTAAATACAATTATGTATAATATATTATAGTATATATCACTTGCAAGTGTGGGCACACTCGCGTGTCTATTATTATTAATTATTATTATCGTTATTATTATCGTTATTATTATTCGTTAAATGATGTAAAAAAAAAAAAAGAAAATACTTCGCTTCTTTTTCGAAGCGCGTTCCGCGCGATTTATACGATTTATCCCTAATATGCACGCTAGTAACAAGGAAAACTTCCCCTCTACTTTTTTCTTTCCTTTTTTTATTAGCCTCAAAGATGACTTTATCAAACTCACTTTTCACAGAGACGGAAATATATATGCTCGACAAGTTTCCTTTTACGATAGAAACGCAAATACTGAATTTCACGGTGTGTGTGTGTATGTGTATGTGTATGTGTGTGTATTTCTACAAGTAGAAAATTTTTCTCGTAGACAAAAAGTTACCAAAATCTCACAGCAACGGTAACTCGGGTTATTTCTATACAATCGGATAGTACCATACAGAATGAACAGTGTACCGATTTTTATTATTAACTTTTTCATCGTTTCTTCGCATTACAAAACAGTAAATTCGTGTTGAAAAACTTATCGGCATTGAGAAAAATGCAATACAAAAGACGCGTGTTTTTGTCCACCAATCGGTTCCTCGATTGACGAAACGATACACACACAATCGCTCTTATCTCTTCGAAGATAATGAAACAGGCAATATGGAGAAGAAATGGCGAAACATTCGGATAACATTCTTCTCCTTCAAAGTATCGAATTAATAATACTGTCGAACGACTTCGATGATGCGACGACTTCGATGACGGCAAACCGTACACGATGGCGAAACATTCCCTTTCTTCAGAGACAGATATGCTCCAAGCATTTGCAAAGAAAAAAAAAAAAAAAAAGAAAATTGATTCAACGAGTTTGCCTTCCCGTTAAATTCGTTAATTACTCATCGCGGCGGTCAGGTCATGGTGTCTCCTGGTATACCACGCACGGTATCAATGTCATATGAAACGGTGGCGGACGTCATCTCATTCGGGATCATCCTCGTTCGATCCGTACTCGAGGTCGTCTTGGCGTCACAAGCTCACTAGCTTCGGCGGATTCGCATCCGGCGAGCTGAGATCGACGGCCGACAGATTGTTTCTCTGCTGCGTCGAGCAGGAAGGTATCAACGGCGTGGAGACTGGCGTGAGCCCGGTTCCACCTTCCATCAACGACTCGAAGTTGAACGGTATGCCACTGGTTGGCGTGGTGATCGGCATCCCTGCCACGTCCATCGACGGTTTCATGAACGCGGGTGTTTCCACCGTTTTGAACGTGAGCGTGTCCGGCCTGTCTTTCGGCTCGTTGAAAATCGACAGGGAGTTGGGCCGATTGTTGTTGTCGAAGCCAACCGGCAACGAGTTCGGCCGGTTTGGTCTCGTTGCGATGTTCACCGGCGAGTCGCGTTTCCCGTCGTCGGCCACGGTGGCTGCAGCAGCCGCGACCGCCGCCGCCACTACGAAATGATTCTCCGCCGGAAGCTCGGGCTTTATCACGGGCTTCACGTCCGGCGGCGAGGCGGAACGAAGTCGACAGACAGCTCTGTGCGCTTCGAGAATGAATTCCAGCTCGTCTTTGGCCTGCTGTAGCTGTTGGATCTCCTCCTGCAAGCTCTGCTTCTTCTGCTCCAAACCCTCAGTCTCCTGCAAAGTGGAGAACCAGAGTTGTAGTATTTCTCTTTCGAATATTCACAACAATGGTTTTGTATCATTTTGTATGATTGTCACAGGCAACAAAAGACTCGTCAAGAGATGGAGATAGCTCAATCGGTAGAGCATCAGACTCTTAATCTGAGGGTCTAGGGTTCGAACCCCTATTTGGGCAAAAAAAAAAAAAAGAAGATATTGTTCTTTAGGACAACAGCACGAGGAGAGCTCTGTGTGTATAAAAAGGTCCTAGAACTCTCCCAACGTGCGGAGGACACTACCTGGGTCTTCCCTTAAAAGACTTAGGTGTCTTATCGAAGATTTCCTCCACGTAAAAAAAAGAAAAAAAAAAAAAAACAAAAGACTCGTCGAGAAATCGATAGACAGATACGTACTTCTAACAGGGCATTGGTGTGATCCATCCTTCGCTTGCGACATCTAGCTGCTGCCATCTTGTTTCTCTCTCTGCGTATCTGTCTTCGTTCCTCCTCTTCCGGAGTCATCCCGATCGTCCTGGTGGGCCTTCTGCCACCCATGTTGCGTCTGGTTGGCTGCTGCTGTTGCGGCTGTGTTGTCTGCTGGCTGTCCACAAGGATGGTGTTGGCTGCCACGGGGGCGGCGACGGTGGTGGTAACGACGTGGTGCGGCGCCGCCGTGTTTTGCGTCTGTGCCGGCGTCGGTTGCGAAGGTTCCACCAACGGTGGCACGAAACCTGCCTCGCGGCTGTGCGATCCTGACTCGCTGGTCAGCTCGAGGAACGTCTGCTCGATACTCCGCAGCGTCGTCGGCGTCAACGTCGGCGTCGTCCTCGTCGGCACTCCGCTGTGCAGCCCGTCCAGCGAGACAAGCTGCAACGAGAGAAATTGAAAGCTCGATCAGCGAAAAATTGCAATTTGGTTGCATCGCACATTGAAATTCTGTTTCACGCGTACGCACCATTTTGTGAAAATGCACGACAAAATTCATACGATTTTATAAATGGCAGTGGTCTAACGTGGTGTGAACCTTGAGAAAGAAAGAGCTTACTTCGCTCACTTGGTATTATGCAAAATCGGCAAAAATCATAAAACAAAAGCGAAAGCAATGACCGATATATAATGCAACAAATGCTCTACACAGGTATATACGTACGAGTTTAGGTAAGAAAGACGAGCGACTAGCGTTGCGACACACAGTAAAACCCGAGCTAGTTTGCCAGGTGCGAATAGAGATAACGAAACAGTCGGGAAAATCGATCGGGTCTCGTTTCTCGTCCGCGGAACGCGATTCTCCGCCCTTCGAGGGAAAAGGAAATTCGCCGATCGCGGATTATCCTGCACGCGAAAGACAACGACGCTCTCCGTATCGGTGGGAAAGGAGAGAGAGCATTGCGCAACAGCGAGACAACAGGAAAAAATACACGCGAACGAGAGAGAGAGAAACATGGTATAACGATACGATTCCATCAAACGTTATCACTTCTCGCGTTTCGCTGCGATATCGCGAGCCGTTAATCCAACGAGAGATAAAAATATCCGTGATCCAATAGCCGATAAGCTATCGAAGTGAATTAGATCGTGATCCGAGGGTTGCCCGTGTTTCAAGGTACGCCAAGCGTTCAACTTGCGCGTTGTTTGTCGTTGATGCCGTTGATATCATCATCGCTAAAATTACGCGACGAATTATCGCGACGTTCCTAATAATTAACCGGCCACCACGGCAACATCGCGGCCTCTTCTTCCCTTTCCCCCGACCGCTCGTAATCGTCGATCATTGAATTCTATTTACACGTAGCCATCGGGTCTTTGGGTTTTGCCTTGCGTCTGAAAATAGCAGACAGCGGCGGGCCTTTTGAAAGTTACACCATTTTAACGGCCTTAACGTGATTGCCGGCCGTAATTTTAATACGCGGGCTCTCGCAACTTGTACGACGATATTAACAATATAAAGAGATGTTAATCTCTCGGCATGAAGCAGGGGGACACA